GCTGAATCCATGGGATTCTGGATGAGGCTAAGATTGAAGAAATGCAAGCCAAATTCTTGGACAAGCTGAGGTGGAGGTACTTTGAATCATCCTAGGAAAGATGGCATATAGGAAGTAAATATCTGACTAAAGCTAAAAAGATACACTACAGCTGGAGCTGGGCATTGGACAAACAAGCCTTGTCTCTGCGCATCGCCTTCACAGCTCCCATGCTCTTGCTGTGCACTGCAGGCACACTGACCTACTTGCAGTTCCACAAGCCCTTCATGCCTCTCCTTTTAGAGCATTGCATATACAGACCCTACATTCAGAAACACTCCCCAATCTTTGTTCACGCTTCACCTGCTGATACCCTACTTGTCCTTCAGGATTTGACTTAGGCAACAACCCCAGCAGAATGTTTTCCCAAAGAACCTGTGCTTCCCCCCAGAGTCACGGCGATCCTCTGTAGTGGGATTGCCTACTTTCTGGTCTTTTCTCACCACTAGACTCCAAGCTCTGGGAGATGTACTCAGTAATTATTTGTTAAGCAAGAGAATGATGAATTATTTAATTATTAATCCACAGAGTCAAGGAGTCCCACAAATCCCAAGCAAGATATATATATATATAAATAAATATGCAACTGAATACATCACAAGAAAACTGCAGAAAACCAAAAAGACAAAAAGAAAATCTTACAATGCAAAGGAAAAAAGACAAACTTCAAATGGGTGATAATTAGACTGACAGCTGATTTTCAGAAAAACAATGGAAAGCAGAAAACGATAGAGTGATATCTACAAAAGGCAAAGAAATAGCTGCCAACCTAACAGCACACTATGCATAGTGAAAATATTCTTCAAGAGTGAAAGTTAAATAAAGACAGTTTTATACCAACAAAAGCCAACATATGCTAGTGGCAAGCAGATCTACCCTAAATTAAATATTAAGACACTATGTGTTTTCTTCTGGTGGAAGGAAATGTTTCCAGATAGAAGGCCAGATATAGTAAATTGTAAATATAGGGGTACATACAAAAGAATATTAACTATATAAAACATTGCTTTTATAGGTCTTGGCAGAAGGAAAGTGAAACAATTCTCTCAGGTCAGAACAGATAGGCATTAGTTAATAAAACTTAGAAAAGGAAGGAAAAATACATTTATTGAAAATAGGCTATTTTCCAGATTTTTCTACTACCTGGCTATTACCATAGTGATAAGAATTTTAGTGTCTGAAGATTTTTAATACACTGTAACTTTACAAAATAAACTCTTATGCAATCCTATCAAATCTCAAGCCCATTGATTATACAGAGGGAAAAATAACCAAATGACTCCATGCCAGCTCTGAGTCCCCAGTGGAGTCTTATCTCCTCTTCCAGCTCAGTGGCTCAACACAACAAAAGCTCGTTTCTCACTTATGCAAAGTCCTCTGCAGGTCTAAGTGACTCTCCATGGCAGCAGTCCTCCATATACTGGCTCAATGATCCAGTGTTAGGGCACTCTTAAATCCCCAGAACCTGGCCTGTCCAGGATACTGGGCTGGATCATTGCAGGCCACCTGCCAGGTCATTTCTCATCCATAAAGACAGCACCTACTTCCCTTATCTCCTGTGCCTAATATTTTCATCTTTTTTTTGTTGAGAGAGCATAGCTATGCAGCCTTCCACCTTCTCCAAGCAGCATTGCCCTGGCTTCTCTATACCTTTCATTTCTTCCCATTTCCATCGGCCCGTTTAGATGGCCTTTCCAAGGATTTCCTGTCAGAGCAGCTGTCTTCCTACAGTCTTCAGAAATGAAGATTAAAGGCAGAGAGCTGCCCATGTCCACCTTGTCCAAGGAGTTTTGTGCCATGTCTAGTCCATATAAGCCAAACTGATGTGATTTGCAAGCACCTGTCAAAACACATGTGTGTGGTTTTCATTAACTTGCTTCCTAGAAAGGCAGGGCAAGTAAGGGGGAGCCCTTCACTGAATACATACTTTGTGGGTTAGAACCTCCAGTTTTCCTTTAGCTGAGAAGAGTGGTGTCTGGAAGCAGTCCACTGCCATGTTTTATTAGAACATTCAAATCACCGTGTGAAAGACCCTGGAGAGACACAGAGAGCAGATGATAGTTATTAGGGCCATTGACCCAGGCCATCTGTATCCATCTTAATTTGCCATCCTGGCCCTTCACGTAGTTGATAACTAAACAGACTTCAAGTGAGTTTTAACACTGTTGTAGGATTTATGGAGGATGTGAATCTGAATCATTTAGTCCATTCTTATCTGCAAACAACTGGACGGATAAGAAATCAAACTCATGTCAAATAACCCCAAAACTGATGTTTTGGGAAACACGAACAACAGCAGTTAAGACAAACTTTACTGTATGCTTTTTCTCTGACATGGCAGGGGATGATAAGGTGGTACAGAGACATCCTCAAGCCCCCAGGCTGAATGGGAGATAGAAAATGGAAATCCCGCACCTCAGAGTTACACCTTAACTCAGCAGCAGTCTGACTTCTTATTACTCTTAAACCACAACGTCACATCAGATCATAAATTAGAAATGATATGAATGTGTGACTAAGTCATGTGACTGCATCATGCTCACAAAGGAATACAGGAGACAGGATCATTTTCCACAAAGTACTTCCTGCCCAAAGATGTGACAAGTTTTATTTATTAAGTTTTGTTCACATTTCTTTTGGGGTCAAATGGAAGAGAAAGGAGCTAAGGAAAAAAAGTTCTATTCCCTGCATTGGGTGGAGTCATATTGTGAAAATCCTCAGAAAGAAGCATCTGTTCTCATTCTGTTATGGAAAAAACTGGAAAACCTGGACTGGATCGCTGATGAAAGAACCATGACAGCACTCGGAGGTCTTGGAGTTTTGAGGTTTATTTCACACCAGCGGGCTCAGAGGGGAGTAATCTCCCAAGGTCTGAGCCCTGAGCACAAGCAAGGGGAGCAATTTATATTATTTTGGTATGTGGCATGTCAGCATGTGCAGGGCAAAAGAGGAGCCCAGAGAAGAAGGGGAGGAGGAGCTGGGAGGGCTTTGCTGACTTTGCCAACTGGAGGAAAAAATCAGTTTGCTGGCCTTGATGGCTGTGTTAAATATTTTCCTTATCAATGGGTGTAGACACAGAGCCTCACCTCCAGAGTGTGCCAGGCCTTCCTGTTGAATCATGGAGGGTGGTGTGTAAGAGAATATTGGCAGGCTTACTTTGGGTCATTGTATCCTTTTCTCTTTATTTCTGTAGTCCTCCTTTTCTGATTTTTGTTGTTTAAGATCTGAGTTACCTACTATTTCATAAATTTTGCAAAATACTCACAGGTTACAGTCAAATAATAAATAGCACTATCATCATCTATGGGGAGAAGCAGAAATTTCTGGGATTAATTCATTGGAAAATAACAGTATGTGTCCTCTAATATTTGGACAAATGTGACCTTGACTACTCGTCTATTCTGTATCTTTCCAGAAGGTATTCAGCAAAGAGAAACTCAACTTTCTGACCTTTTATTGCATCCAAGAGTTATCTTTACTCCCTAGGAAGGCTATTCTCTCTATCTTAGGTAACAGTGTAAAATAGAAGAGAAAGGTACAGATGAAAACCCAGTGATCAAATCTTGGCATCATGTGACCTTGTTAAAAGTTGACCTTTCTAAGCCTTAGTTTGTTCACTGGCAATAATATTATTTGCCTCACAAACATATTGTCAGGATTAAATGGGATAATAGATGAAAGAATTTATTCAGTATGGAATCTGAAACACGTGTTAACAAATGCTAAAAGCAGTAGTACCCATTTTAATGTTCTGGAATAGATTATTTACCTTTTGTCAGTAAGACAGTGTCATAATGTCACACACCACACACACACACACACACACACACACACACACACACCCTCCCCTGTGCCTCTGCTGCCATGTGCCATTGGTTTCTCTTCCTCAGGGTGTAATCTATGGTTCCCTGACCTGGTACCCTGTCTTCTGCTTCAAACTTCCAGGGAAGGGTATTCCAAAGACTTTGTGGTTTCTGAAAAGGTTCTTATTTCAAATGACAAGAACATTAGAACATGTTGACACCAGTAAGATACTTCTTGGTGAAACGACATTAATTTGTCTCATGTTATATTGTATCCTTTAATGCAGCATATGGCCATTAGAAAGTGTTTCTTCCCTTCCCCTCACCTTCCTTTTCTAGACATGAATTCCCCCTTTATGCAGACCAGCTCTATAGTCATGATTGGGTCCACCCTAAGTCAAAACAACCAGGTCTTTCATCTGACAGAAAAAAAAAATCCATTCTTATCTATTCTATGAAAATTGTATAGATCCCAAATTGCTTTTTAAATTGAATTTTGTACTTTTTGACCAGTTTGTTTATACTTTTGCATCTTTCCTAAATGGTTTGAAGGGAGATTTTTTTGTATTTAAAACAACACTACCAACGTTGAATTTTAAAAATAAAGGTGAAAGAAAATAAGAAGATCTAGTTTAAAAAAGCCAAAGCCTGCATTGGCATTAGTCCACCAAAAAGTCCTACAAAATTGCTTAAGGTATCTCAAAACCTGGCTCTGCCCTGCTTATGGCCAAGGCAAAGCTTATGTGCGACAGTGGAGATGGAGACCTACAGTCAGTTTGCAGATTTCAATTATATTGATGTAAAATATAATCAGTCAGTGCTGACTGGCGAATGTGTTCATCTCAAGGATGCAGCCCTAAATAAGCACCTCTAAATATCCTTTAATAATGTCCGTGCCCCAGAGGGAACGACAGAACCAGAGGGGTGGCATGGCCCGGCAAGCAGCAGGAGTCTGGTCAGCCCACAGGAAAGGGTGACACCCTGCCTGGAGCCCCAGCAGCCAGCAGGTGACCTCACCCAGCATGGCTCCGGCCTTTCATCTTTTTCATTAAAGAAGCTGTTTTTCACTGAAGACATCCCGGAGGCCGGCTCTTCCGGGGGTGGGCGGGGCCTGCAGCGGGTGGGTGGGGCAGACACCGCGCGCAGCAGGTGTGCGGCTCGGCCCCTGTGCGCGTGCGCGGAGTCGGGCTGTTTGGAGTCGGCCAGGACCGGCGGCTGTCTTCCCGTTACCCCATGGGGGTCGGTAGGGCGGCAGGTGCACCCCAGACAACGCTTCACCCTGCAGTAAATTCCGTAATCACAGGTCACCGAGTGGGCGCCCCTTTGAAGTGAGGGACTTTCTTCTTGTTCCTGCGGTGGATACAATTTGGCCGAGATATCAAATGCAGATAGTAAAAATTTAATTAACAAACCAAAGCCTTTATCTGTAGTTTTTAGAACTGTGGCCAACAATTTTCTTCAATCTCAAGAGCTCCAGTCAGAGCTGAGAGAAGAAAGCAGCGCCTTTGTAGTGCGGAGAACATACAGCTTTTCCTGATGATGGCTCCCACAGATAAGGCTCCTCTCAACTGCCTACTCCTTGGAAGAGGCTTTGAGGCCCCTCTGCAAGTGGGGCTGCATTTTTGAGAGCCGTTTCACATTTTGCTGTGCTTAACGCTTTATCTGCAGAGTCCCGGATGATTCTCCCAACAAGCCACGCTGTGAGAGACTGAGTCTCTTGTGTAGGATTATGTGCACAGGCAGCAGACCCAGGACAGAAAACATAATCACCCCAGTCTTTCTTATCAGAAGCTTATTGAGGATGCAGTCTTAGGTGACGTGGAGATAAAGTGACACTAATTACTTACAGGTAACAGTTTACTTCCATACCAGCCTTTCAACAAATTCACACGGGGAACAGCTAATGCTGCTGTCCACTAGAGCTTCTGTGGATGGGGAAACCGAGACTCGGAGAGGCCAAGAACGTGTTCTGTCTTCTAGTCCAGGCGGAACTCTCCTGAAGAAAGCAAAAGGAAATCATGCAAGGCCATGTGTAAGTAACATGCAATGAAAGCATCAGAATCCAAATAGGTATGTATTATATACCTATGTGTATATTGTAAAATTATCTATGTGTAATCTCTGAGTGTGATTAAAGGTGATTTTTCTTTCCAGTTTTTGAGCTTTCCTCCAGCTTTCAGGTTTCCTAAAGTTAACATGTGTTAAATTTATAATAACAAATTACTAGCACAGTTAATGAGCTCTTGAAGTCATAGACCAAAGGGCCCCAGTGGTTGGCTCCCAATGCCAATAGCATGTGGTTTTAGATTAATTGGATTAGATGGGGTTGAACTGGTAGAACAGAGAAGGAACAAAATTTGCCCAAGATTGTACACATAGGATATGAAGTAGGCCTGAAACAGGAATGCAAAGGAGAAGCTGGGACCCACCTCTAGGAAACAACTGCCAGGACACAAAGGCAAGAACACTGCTTGGCCAGAGGAAGTTTAAGGATTTCCCCAAATATCATTCCCTTTTTCAGCATTCAGGGAATGAACATAAAGTGGAGGATTCTACCTATTGTCCCCTAGTCCGTCAGCCCTCGTGCTGCTCACACTGGCCTTGTGATTCGGAGACTAGTGGAAATGGTAAGGAAGCATGGAGAGAGAGAGAAAGAGGAGGCCCCTGAGACCTACAGCACTGGAGCAGAGCAGATCTCTTTATCTGATTTAATAGCAAGTGTATCTTGCAAGCTAGGTCTAAATGAAGCTAAAACTGGGATTGATTTAGTCAGCTTGGTGGCACTCATATATTTGTGTGGGAAATGGGAAGATGCATAGGCAGGTCATGGAGGAAGGAGGAAGGGGTAGGATTAGTCTAAGTTAAACTAGCCAATGGCTTAGTGACCTTTACTAGTGCCTGGAAACAGATGGCTCTCCCCACCACTGTATTCCAAGCCTGGAACATTTCTGCAATGCCAGCCCCTCTTCGGTGGCTTGTCCCCTGAAGGAAAGGGCTTGACCACACTGAGGTCACCATGCCAAGGCTGCCAGAGGACCCTCACTTGGAAAAGGGTGGAAGCAGTTACCAAAGGAATCCCCTCCCAACTCCATGCTGCAACTCCCGCCCGTCATCCACCATCCATCCTCCCGGCAGGTCTCTGTTCCAACCACTGGAACATTCCATTTCTGAGAAACATGATCTAACATGCATTTGACAATTCTATTTATACCTATCACGATTTCTCTTTTAGGTGACCATCTTGTTGGAAAAACAAAAGAAAATGCTTGAGATAGTCTCAAGATTAAGCAAAAATGATCAGAAAAACTGTAAGAAGCTGCCATCATGTTTAAAGCAGCACATGGTTTTAAAACATACCTCCTCACCCTACGGTTAAAAAATAAATAGGAGTTCTTAAAGGCTTCAAAAAACAATAGCATTGCAAGACCTTTATTTTTATAATTCAGTGAATCTGTAATATATTAAACATGAGAGGATCCTCTTGGCCAGTGTTTTTCATATGTGTGTTTTGCTAATTCATTTGCACTTGCTTAATGTCTGTGAGGGCCACAGACCAAGCCCAGGTCTGTGGAGTTCTTCTTGAAAGGCACACAGCTAAATACATGCTCACTTAGGCATCTGATGAGTATGATCTTGTGAAAGGGAAGTTGGCATTTGGTCTACAGACTTTGAAGGGAGATGTCTAATATCTCAGTTGTCCCTATTAATTTGTTAATGCAATTAATTAACAATACTTATTAACTATAGTTATTATTGGGCACTTACTGTGTGCCAAGCACTGTAAGCTATAGTTAAACCCTCAAAGCATCACTGAGAAGTAGAAACCATTATCCCCTCTTTCCCACAGATACGGTATTATTCTGAAACAGTCCCACACTGCCTGCATACTACAGTACAATCTGTTGGGGAACATGAAGCCATATATCCATGGTTCCCACCTGCCTGATATGCATTTATGGTATTTTTGTGCACTGAGCTATTCACAAACTGTCAGCTCCCTGTGATGGAAAGTAAGTGTTGTAGCATGAAGGAAGTAGGATCCTACCTGCTGGAATTACCAAGAAAGTTTCCAAGGTAAGGGACCTTAATGGGCTCTTGGTGGTGGTATTGGGGGAAGAGACTTGAATGCAACCCAGGTTAATGTTTTCACCAGTTCTGGGTAGGCTAGAAGGGGAGAGGAGCCTTAAAACACTTTTACATGTTCTTGCAGAGCTGAAGGAGAAAAGATTTATTTCCATGGCTGCAGTAGTACCTAAGTTTAAATCTATGATAGCAAGCCCATGATAAAGCTAACACCACCACACCAATAGCAGCTACCATTTATTGAGTGTATACTCTGCCAGACACTGTAGTAAGCCTTTTGTAATTATTTATTTTCTCATTAGATCTTCCAATAATCCTAAATTCCTATCATATCCCCATTTGACAGATGAACAAACTAAGTCTGGTGGGGGTAGGTGAGTTGCTCATGTTCACACAGCCACTAAGTGGCACAACTGGAGTAGAACTGGGTCTCTCTGATGCCAGAATGTGCACTTCAGCACCTGGCCATCCTCTTCTCTCATTGAAGTAATATGTGGAAGACATGGGCAAGGATTCAAACTGAGTCTCCAAAAGGAGATTCTTGGAAGATGCAGTGTGGAAGCAAAAAGCTTGTACTGGGGATCCAAAGTGAGTCTGAGAATCCATGCAAACCCATAGGGTTGGAGAGAAAGTGAAGTGAAAGGTGGCATCACTCAGAAGTGAAGATTCATCCTTTCCCTTCTTTCTCCCAAGAGAAGTCCATCTGACAAATAATAAAAGTCCAGGGACATAGCCAAGGGTATCTGTGTGTAGCCCTGGATAACAACAGGTGATGCACATAACAGGAGCCAGAGTATTTGTTCCCCGCGGTGGCCCAGATCCTTAGCCTGAGAAAAAAAGCATCCACAGAATGGGATCTTGCTGGTTGGGGAAATTTGGGATTCCAAGTGAAAATACTGATTTGATGTTTGTATAGTAAGAGGGCCTGTCCTATAATCAGAGATTCCCATGGTCAGCACACTTCTTAGTAGGAAGCTGACGTGAGAATGTCACATTGGTCTATGATGGCTTTTTGTTCAACCAGCACTGAAAAGCTGGGCCATCTGAGGAAGGTTCTGGTGCCAGCTGGCCAGGCAGGCACTCCCCGGAGCAGTATTTCTCATCTTGTGGTTGTGACTCCAGAAAGGGATCAGGTGACACAGCACAGAGCTACCAAGGGCCCTCCTCCCTGCCCGTTCCCTCTCCTGCTGCCTCCATGGCTAGTTTCCATCCCTTACCCACTCCCTCCTCCCTCCAACCCTACAAAGACAGCATCAGAAGTGATGCACAAATCACGGCCTCAGGAAAGACTTTGGGATTGAGAGTTGGGGGTCCCAGAGCTCGAGCCTAGGCTTAGCCCTGAACCAGCTATGTGATCTGGGGAAATCATGTTTACATTACAAACCTGTGTGAAGGATGCTGAAAACCATGAGAATTTGTATATACAGAAGAAGAAGGGAGCCACCGGAGAGGAGCCCTGAATTTGGGGACCACTTTTCCTCACAGGGCAGATACCAATTCCAAAATCGAAAGTAGTGGCTGAGAAGCTGAACAAAGCTTTTTTGCAAACTTATGGTGCTGTGTGTGTGGAGGCAGGAGCATGGGACTTAAGAGTTCAGCTTCTGCAAAGAGAAGAGGACCCAGGAAGTAACCCAGGTTCTCCATTCAAATGCTGAAAGGCTACACCCTCAGGAGCAAGAAGCATCTGGCAAGGGACCAGCCTGCACAAGGACTGAAGCCCAGCATGGCCCCAAATTCACCTCAATCCCTGACTGTATCAAGATGCTCAGCAGCCTCTCAAAAACAAAAGTAAATCAGGCAGAAAGAAATTGTCCCAGGTAGGACCCCAGAGATGCAGGAAGCCCAAAGAGCAATGAATATGTGGGTAAACAGGAATGAATAGTAACTCTATAATACAATGAGTCTGCCTGAAGAGTTTTAAATATGCTTAAAATTAAAACACAACAATAACACAAAGAGAGGGAGGTGGGTAAACAGATGTAATGGAAATGTCTATCGTTAGTATAAGTGCCTGACATTAAACTTTCCACATGAAGCTGAGGCGTCCATTTCAGACATCCACCTGGAGTAGACTCACTGTCGCTCTATGACAACTACTAGCAAACCAACTGCGGAAGGAACCAGGCTGTCCTACCCATGAAGTTGCCCTTGTAGAAAGCCCTGGGTGACCTAGATAGATAACTGGCCACTTGAGTGACCCCACACCCTAATTCATACTCTTAGGCTGTCAATGCACCAATAAGGAGTGAAGTCATGAAACCCCACCTCAGACCCAGTAAAGGCAGAGCCACAGGTTCCAGTTCCCTCCTTCTGTGTCTCTGCCAGTCACCTGTGTGGCCCTCAGCAGCCTGCTGTGTACCCTCCAGGACTTATGTGTTATGAATCTTTTTTCTCTAAGTTCTCTGGTGGCTTTATGCTTATGTGCAACTTGCATTCGTAATAAGAAGCACAAGGCCTGGTCCAGATACAACATTGGCTCTGATCAGGGAAATGTCTGTGGGGGCTCTCCACAAATAGCATGGGCCCAGGTGAATGCCCCTTGGCATCCCTAGCCAAGAGCATCACTATCCATAGGCTGAGACCTATACAACCATGGAGTAAAAGTATTCTAAGCTCCCTTAATTCAGAAAGTGATAAAAGAACTAATTTATATTAGACTTTAGTGAGTGAGGGAGGATATTATAATTTCTACAACAAACATTAAAAAACAGTTAAACAATATGTAACAAACTAATAGGAGAGAGATTAATAAAAAAAATCATTAACCTAGGAACATAGATAGGAGGACAATTAGAAAACAAATAGCGAAAGAGTACACTTTAACCCAAATAGATCAGTAATTACACTAAATGTAAATGCACTAAAAGACAAAGATTATCAGACTAGTATTGGAAAAAAAATCCCAAACTGATGTTGACAAGAACCACACCTTAGAGGAGTAAAGAAAGATTGAAAGGATGGGAAAAAGGCAGCATACAAACAATAACTAAAGGAAAGTAGTGTAGCTGTTCTAATCTGAAGGCAAGGAGCATTCCTAGAAATCATGAATTTTGTCATGATTTTTTAACAGAAAATAATAATTTTACCAATGTTTCAGTAAGGAGGAAGTCAAGCCATAGAGTGGGAGAAGCTATTTTTCATACATTTATCTGATAAAGGATTGTCAAATTCAGAATATAAAAATCTCCTATAAGTAAGTAAGAAAAAGGAAGATAGTACATTATTTTTTTAAGAGGACAAAATCTCAAACAGGAACTTTACAAAAAAAGGATATCCAAATTGTCAATAGGCATATAAAAAGATGTTCAATTTTATTAGACATCAAGGAAATGCAAAGTAAACCATAATGGAATACAGTAAATATCCCACTTAATGGCTAAAACTGAAGGACAGACAATACCAAGTGTTAACTAGGATGTGGAGTAAATAGAGCTCTCCTACCCCACCAAGTGAGTGTACATAGTAGTACAAACTATTTGAAATCTGTGTGACAATATGCACCAAAATTGAACATCCATATACGCTATGACCAAACAATTGCTCTCCTGGGACAGAAGTATGTGTATATGTCTACTACAGACCTGTTCAAAGCAACTTCATTCACAGTACTCCAAAGTAGGAAGCAATCAAAATGCCCATTAATTATAGAATGGATAAATACAGTGTCTATGGTACATCCACACAATGGAATTCTATTTAGAAATGAAAGGAAATGAAAATGGATGAACTTCTACACCACGTAACAACCTTGATGAATCTCAGCAGCGTGAATTAATCACACAAGCATGGTGCTGAGAGAAGGAAGCCAGACATACAAGAGCACACACTGTATGTTTCCACTTACATAAAGTTTAAAACAGAGAAAATGAATCCACGGTGATAGAATCAGGATAGTGACCCCCTTGGGGGAAGCCAGTAATGACTTGAATGGCACACTGGAGGCTTCTGGAATGTTCTGCTTCTTGATCTGGGAGCTGGTTGCATGGATAGGTTCATTTTGTGGGGTCACTGGCCTGTGCACTTAATAGCCATGCACGTTTCTGCATGGTGATGCGATTCTTCAATTGGAACAAAAGTTTGTTTGCAGTAAGTCTAATATATCCTGCAAGAGGAAGAATCTCTGAAAGTTTGTGTCTTTCTCAGAATCTCTGTGACCATCAGTCTAGCTGGGATCAGCCTTTCATCCCAGAACACTGGACATTCAGAAATTCCACTCTTGGACACTTCCCAGCCCCACCTGTTCACTTTGCATTCCTGATGAGCCACTTTCTTTGTTGCTAACACCCAGGCCAAGGTGGCACCCTGGGGCAGCAAATCAGACCAAGGCTGAGGTAAAGTGCAGCCAGTGGGCAGAGGCAAAAGGCTTGGGTGGCCCTACCCTGTTTGTCCTGCAAAATC